TAGATGGCCGCTTACAAGCTTTTGAGATCCCAGTCGCTACTTGTCAGTGGCTAATTTTTAGGAAGTAGATCACAAAGCCTTTCTTCTGAGGGGCCTCTGAATGGAGTCCAGAAAACATATTGCTAAATTACTTTGTAAAACACATGTACGAGTTCTCCAGCAAATATGGAAATACAGTTTTAACACTTTTTTCAACACTGGATTGTAATTTAAAAAATGTTGCTGATAGTTTTGTTTTGCATTTGTTTAGTAGCTAATGATGCTATATTTTCCAACTGGTTTAATGACAGTTATTTTGTCCCTATTCTTCCTTGTAGTTGCAGTGCCCATCACCTTACTTTCTTCACAGTAACTACCAAAGTCTCTAGTCTGGTTCTCTTAATGTTATTGGTGTTTTTTCCCGTGATGTTTTTGTGTCAGACTCAGTTGTTGACTGTTATCAGGTCAGCTCCTGACTGGCACCCCCATGCTCAGTGGAGAAAATCGCACCCAGCCCTGCACCATCACCACGATTGGTTGGGGCCTGGGCTGTTTTGATCCATAGGGTTTTCACTGGCTAATTTTCAGAAGTAAATTACCAGGCCTTTCTTTTTAGTCTTAGTTTGAAGCGCCACTGAAATTGGTTCAACATCATAGCAACATGCAAGGCTCCGCTGACAGACAGTTGGTGGCTGTGCACGAGGTACATTGTCCAGTAATCAACCTCAGTGTTCTGCATGGAAGGCAAGAGCACCACTGAACCACCGCTGCTCTTGTCAGACTCAATTAAAATAAAAATATATATAACAGATATCTTGAGATAGAACAGTAGTGCCCTTGTTAAGTACTTTTCTGTAAGAAATTTTGCTCCTGGTCATAGACTTCCTATCACATTTTAGTGTAATCCCAGAAGACTTGAGCCTAAATATGCACTGTTACTGTTAGCAAATACATAGGCTATGTTAGGACATAGACCTTCTTTTATAGTAGGCTGTAATTATATGCTTACCCCTGCTATTACAAAGGAAATAACTCAAGGTAGGTGAGTTACTACTTGATCATCACGTAATAAACTAAAAGTAATAAAGTTGCAGATACACTTCTAAGACCTGAGGGTAAAAGGGAAATATATTCTCTTCAAATAGGATCTGTTTCATTGATCAGATGTAGAGTGAAGCGGCTTAATAGTGTGGCATTAGATTCATCAAAGAGCTTAAATCCACTGCTTTAGAAATAGTAAAATGTGTAAATAAAAATGCCTTGATTTTTTTTTTTCTTTTTACTTTTCAGGTTTACAAGTAAAAGTAACCAAACTGAAAAAGGAACGCATTTTGTAAGTATCAGTATGTAACAGTGATGTCTTATTTATAAGAAAATTGACAGTGATGTCCTATTAGACTTCACTGTATTATTTATACATTTTCATATTCAGTGTAGATCTTGTGTAATTGAGAGTGATTTTTAAAAAAATTCTAAAGTGAAATAAGTAACTTTGTAATTTTAACTATATCTTTAGTTAAAATATATGTTTATATTTTAATGTAATTTCCATGTACACATATAATGTATTTATTAAGACTAGAACTGACTTGTAAACTCATTTTGATCCATCCATCAGAGCATTCTTTTCTCAGCTGAGATTAACATCTAGAGTTCAAGATGTCACAGGTAGGAGAACAGAGCAATTCTGGGATTTCTAACTTCATTTAATAGAAATTAAATGGATATTCTGAGACTCCTTGTAAGTAGTTTCAAATTACCAGAGAATTCCCTGAATTGTTTTAGTTATTAAGCCCACAATCAGATCTGACAATCAGATCTGATTTTCTAAGTTAGGAGCAGACACTACTCATAGTCTTTAGAGCATCCCCACTCAGCAATCTGAGTCAGATTCCATAGGAGAATATAGGTAACTATAACAAAAATTATCATCATTGTGACTAATAATAATTTCATTTGCTTTATGGTATATATATATGGGCCTCAGTTACTTTGTGTTTGTTAAACTCCCAATGCTGTAACAGAAAGCTTGTTATTAATCAATCCTTCATCAGTACACACCCAATTATTTTCTCCTTTGTAATCTGAAAATGGGGAAGTTTTTCTTCGTACTTGGAAAATTAAGTCTGGAAGTGGACTTAGATTCAGAAATATAAAATCATAACTTTAAAAAACAATTTTGTTTAAAATGATAATTGTATGAGTCTTCTTAATTACAAACACTACTACATGCTTTGCAGTATTAAAAGTGTACATTTTATTTTAAACATCCTTAGCCATAAAATAACCCACTGCTCTTTTTCTGTGAAAGAGCTGTGTTTAGTCCCCATAATTGAGAGATGTTTCTTTACATCTAGAGGAAATTTAATAAGGCATTTCTGAATAGTATATTTAAGATGTGTATCTTTGGCAGAAAGTTAATTTTTACTCTTAAAACAGAAAACACGATTTTCAAGGATACATCGTTTGCTGGTAAGTTGTATCTCTTATTAGTTAGAATATTTTCTGCTATAAAAAACAAAAACAACCAGAAGTGTGTTTTATTGAAAGAAAAATGTATCTTTACATATTGAAGGCCTAAAATAGAGAGAACCTGTTATTGTAGTGTGCTGTTGAGTTGACTCTGACACATAGTGATCCTATATGACAGAGAAGATCTGCCCCATAGAGTGTTTTAGGCAGAAATCTTTATGGGAGCAGATCTCTAGGTCTTCTTTCCCACAGAGTTTAGGTTTGAACCATTGACCTTACAGTTAACATCCCAATGCTTTAACCATTGGACTGGCTAATTAGTGACTCAACAATATCATCAGAGAGCCAGGTTATTACTGTCTGTCTCTCCTACTATCCTTAGTGTTCTGGTTTGCCATCATTCTAGCCATTGCATGGATCTGAGTTAACAGAAGCAGTCCCCAGCAGACCCCTAATTCATTGACCATAATTATTGTGTGATCATTCCTAAACAATAATGGGAAAAGGGTGCTGAATTAATATAATTGGCTTAGGCTGATAAAGATTCTGAAACTACACTATGTGTATTCTAGGATTGAGCAAATATTTCTATCATAGATAATGACAGCCAGGTTTCTCACTGTCAGGAAAGGTGCATATAAGGAAATGGGGAAGGCTAGAATTAACCCTACACTGCTGTACATGAACATGAGCTATTAGTATTAACTCATGGTTTTTAAAATATAGATTGTATATAGATGAAGATATTTATTAATGTGTTTGAGGACATACCTGTATTTCTTAGGTTTGGTCCATTGAAGTCCTAGAAGCAGTAAGCACATCTACAGCCAAAATACTAATTACTAAACTATTCCACAAGGCTTCTTGGCAAATGGCTGATTCAAAGGCTAGTTATAGAAAGTACAAGATGACATCCTGTGGTGCCAGAAATAAGGAAATGGTCAAAAAATAATGTAGACTTGTTGAAAAGATAGAGAACACAACTTAAAAAATTCCCAATGGTAGAATCTAAGGCAGCTTGAACAATGAAATAATAATAATAAATTATTACCCATAAAATAAAATAAATGTAAGTCTTTAGTGATAAATACATAAATAAAAGAGAAGGGACAGCTCTTTCTTAGTATAGTTACAATTAGTAAATGTAGAGAGAATGATGAAAATAGAAAATCACAGTTTGACACACATCACAGAAATGATTATTGCAGGCAAGAATCATCAATGGAAGCTGAAATTGGTGGTGAAATGCAAATGAGAACCAGAATATTTGCATAGCCTTAATGTCTCTCGCCATAATGTTTTATCAATTACAAAGGGAGAACTAGTAATATTACACTGGATAAAATTGAAAACTCCACCTCAATCAGAGGATCAAAGTTAACAACCTAAAGCTATGTCAACCTCATTTACCTCCTGATGTGATGGACTACGGAAAGTACAACATCATTTCTGTCATATTTTTGCCCAAAATACATAGCTCAAATTGAATAATGAGGTAACATCAGACAAAGCTAAATTAAGAGAGAATCTACAAAATAACTGGCCGTACTTTTCAAAGGTGTGAAGGTCATGAAAGACAAAGAGAAACTGTCTCCTATTGGAGGAAACGTCAATTAAATGTATTAATTTTCTGAACCAGAAAAATAATATTATAGAGACAGTTGGTGAAATTTAAGTGTGTAGATTAGTTAATAGCATTGTATCTGTATTGATTTCCTGGTTTTGATAATTATATATATACTACGATTATGCAAGATTTTAGGAACCTGGATGATAGGTATACAGGTACTCTTTGTTCTCTGTAACTTATTTGTAAGTCTAATATTATTTCAGAATGAAATGTTTAAAAAAATGTGGAAAACATTTTTCTTCATTTTTTAAAGATTCAGCCCCCGGGGTCAAGAGAGAGACAAAAATTCTCTCTGAGCAGTTATTGGATATTGAACGATCCTTAAAAATGATCCTTTTAGTAAAGAATAAGAAGGAAATGACTCTTGGATGGTGGTGTTAGATGCCATGGAGTTGGTTCCTACTCACAGCAAGCCTGTGTGCAACAGAAAGAAATACTGCCCTGTCCTGGGCCATCCTTACAGTCTTTGCTAGGTTTTATTCATTATTGCAGACACTCTGTCAGTCCATCTCATTGAGGGTCTACTTTCCCAGATATGATGTGCTTTTCTAGGGACTGGTCCCTCATGAGAACTTGTCCAAAGTATGTGAGACTAAGTCTCACCATCTTCCCTTTTAAGGAGCATTCTCACTATACTTCTTGCAAGACAGATTTATTCATTTTTCTGGCAGTCCATGACAGCTTGTTGAATAGGCAACCAAAAATGTCTGCTGTAGTTAGTGTAGCCTGTGGCTCAGAGAGCAGCAGTCGATACAGATCCTATGGCATAATTTCCTCTTATGGCACTGAACAGATTTAAGATTTTCTTTTGTTTCTGTGGGCAATAGGGATTTTAAAAACTTTATAGGCTTTTAAGGCTCTTACATTCATACTGATGATATTGCCTTATGTTCATGTATGTTAGGATTACCTGAATGGTTCCAGAAGAAAACCTTTTGTGTATAAATTCTCCCTAAAGTAAAAATTACTTCAAAAATAAGTATAATGAAATTGCATCAGCTTGGTGAGGAAAATAGAACCGTTCTCTTAGTTAATAAATAAAACTTCTTTTCTATCGGTTGGAAATCAAAAGGGGAAAACTGTTTTACTTAGTAATATATAGGATTTTCTTTAGTGGTGAAAATATTTTATTACAATGGTTTGAGGTTTAAAATTATGAAATACACTTATATTTTATCTTCATTTTTATTTAAAGCCCAGCTATCTAGTGATGGATGCTGTTAAAACAAAACAAAACAAAAAAACCCAAACTCCATGCTGTTGAGACTTTTCTGACTCATAGCAACCCTGTAGGACAGAGTGGAACTGCGCCATAGAGGTTTCCAAGGCTGTAAATGTTTTTTTTTATTGTTGTTGTTGTTGAGAAAAAGGCCTGTTATTCACAGAATAGCTTCTTGTTTGTACCAGTTCCCCTTGCCTCCTAAGACCTGGGGAGGGGAGGGGGGAGGGGGAAGTGACAGAGTGCAGACCATGTGGATACAATGTATACAGTGGGTTATTGTCACAGCTGAAGATCCCTAAGCTTGAGAAACCCTAATCTTTCATAATGGACTGCAAGCAAACCTGCCCAGCCTTTGTCCTGGAGGGAGGCATAATCTTTGTTGTTGTTGTGGGCCATCGAGGTGATTCAGACTCATAGCAACCCTATAGGAACAGAGTAGAACTGCCTCCTAGGGTTTCCTATGCATAACCTTGACTGGAATAGATTGCTAGGTCTTTCTCACACGGAGAACCATGTGACCTTTTAATTAGCAGCCAGTGCTTGACCGTTGCACCACCAGTGCTCCTTGTCCTCTGCTCCAGAGATGCCCTCTCTCTCAAGTCATTTGTTATTCAGATATTCTTGAAAAGAGAGTCCAGAACAAAAGTTGTCAGTGCTTCTGCTCATAAAATGTGCATAAATGAGAGAGCCGTGGTAGATTATCCCCCAACATTTTGCTTTTCAGAGATTTCACATTTAAGTTTTAGCCTCCTGCCTCTCAGAGTCCAGTATGCTTGAGACCCCAAGGCTCCACCAAAAACTCTTCTAGTTTTTTGTCACCAGCAGTTATCCTCCCACTGGACATTGCATTACACTTTATAACAGATTCTCACCTTCCTGTCCACACTTTCGACATCTTAACAGTTTTCATGAGACAGCTTGCTGTACTGTCTGGGCTATGGCAGTCTCAAACTCTAATTTGAAGGTGGCTGAAACTTTCTGCTACACTTTTCAGGATGTTCTGCCCAGT